GAGAGAGAGAGAAAGAGAGAGAGAGAGAGAAAGAGAGAGAGAGAGAGGAGAGGGGAGAGGGGAGAGGGAGAGGGAAGGAATAAGACTATGACAGTAACTGAAATGTGTGATGCTATCATGCAATGATTCATCTCTTGACTTCATGGGCCCTGCGTAGCCACAGAGTGTTTACAACTCTTCATAGTCTTTCAGAATAAAAATCTCATCATATCACCAGGTCAGAAGGTTCAATGCTCCTGTTGACTCCGTTGAGGTTTCAAAGTGATCCTTCAGCCACAGAACCTTGGCTGGCCAACTGGGAGTCGGAGCGATTCTGATGATTCTGTTTCTGCTCGTCATGCCCATTCTATTCATCATTCTTCATCATTCCTCATCCTTCTTTATCATCTGCATGAGGGTGCCGGTGAGGCTTCAAGCCCGGCTCCTCTGTAGCCAAGAGTCTGCATGTCGTCTCTGTTCCCCACGTGGTCTAAAGGCTGACTGAAGCCGCACCCAAGATAAAATCAAGCTCCTCCTTGCAGAAACCAGGCAGATGCAATTCACTTGAGGAATTGCGCCGAACTTTGGGGCATAAAATGGCATCAAATGGCATAAATGGGAGGGACGCAAATGGACACAGAATGCACACATCGGCTGCCCAAAATGTCTTAATTCATCTTAATTTCGGCATTTTATATCGAGATATATAGATACTGTGGAAAACATAATCCACATTGAGCTTACCAGGGTACTGGTGTGCATGAGGTTGTGAGCCACCCTGGATTTGACAGTGGTGACATCAGGGTTGATGCTGTTCATTGATGTTCATTGCTGTTCCATACCTATGTCAGCAGCATTTCAACTCTACAGCTGGCTTTTTCCATTGTCAATCATTGTCATCATGGGTAGTGCTAAGAAATCATGTTGGCCTGGGGATGCCTGGGACTTCTATCCGAGATGCAGCTGCCGACCGTTTTCGCCTGTCAATCTGATTCAAAACAAAATAGGAGCCCAAGTCCGGCTAAGGACAGAGCTTGATAAAGTTTTAAAGTGGTCCCAATGCCAAGCGGCTTGGCCGAACAGATGGTGAAAAATACTGAAAGCATGAAGAACTTTTGCTGTTCAGGTGCAATGGCGTGCCATCCGTCCAGCCGCCTAGCCAGTGCATTCAGACCAGCATTCCTATCTCGAGGTCTCCCTCATCCTGACTCACTAAATTCATATTACTGCCAAATAACCTGACGCGCAAAATGGATGGCAAATGCCTCGAAAGCCTTTTCCATTGCGCGATTGGTACAGGATATTCATATTTGACAGGTCTGTACTGTGAATGCCTGTGACCAGCAAGGTGGAACGGATCACGCTGCGATCATCTGCTTCTTGTACAGATGTACGTAGATCATCGTAGATCCAAACATAGATTCTAGGTGTTTCGTAAAAAAATCGGAAGAAGATTCTCTTGAATTGACTAGTTTGGTAGACTCTCAGGATCTAAGCCAGTGCCAAAACAACTCAATAATTGATAATGGTCACTCCAAAGTTCCCCGTAGCTAAACATGTGATTTCAGATATTGGGCTTTGTCGCCTCGAAGAGTGACCAACAAGTGAATCAAATTCACACAATGAAGCTTGCAACACTTGACCAGGTCGGTTCATAATCGAAAATAAATCCCAAACACGAAAAAAAGTCCAAACGTGGCCAAACCACTAGTGCAGTAGGTTGCAAATACGACGGTGGTTTCCACTTCCACGCAGGGGTTGCACCTTGCACCGTTCTCCAAAAGTTTTTGTCGCCGTGGATGAGGGAGAGAGTTCTGTGAGCGCCATCATTTCAGCAAGATGTTTTTTCTCTGTTTGGGAATGCTATAAACAAAGAAAAACCATCACACCCTGCAGATTGAGATCAATGGATTTGTTTGACAGACATGTGGTCCTGATGTTGAAACCGACCTGACACTGCTAAATTTCATACGCCACAGTGTCACGCAACAATAAAATAGCAGCTACATGCCGATTCACATCATGTTTGTACAGGTTCAGATCGCTGATGATGGCTGGTTGCACTGCCAGTCGCTGCCACCATGGTCCAACTAGCTGTTTGCAAATCGAACAGTTCAGTCGGATGGGCAGGGACGACAATTCTTAAATGCCCAAATCGATCCAAATCGCATACAATATATTTACCAGCCAACATCACCATTTCAAAGCAACTGTGATTGGAAACTAAAGCCACGAGACTGGAAAATTAATCAAAACACTTGGATGTCAGCACGGTGGTGTGTTTTGAGTTTGTCTATCCCCTTCCTGAGTCTGCTTCCATCTGGTTTCCAGGTGTTTGCCATGCTTACTCTTGCTCCGTGTGAGGGGATAAACAGGGTGCAAAGCCTGACGCAGGCAGGCGTTGCTTCAGCAATCCCACATGAGTCATCATGAGGGTGATGTCAATGAAGAAATCCATCTCTTGTAATTGTCAATTCACTCAAATGAAAGGCAACTCAAACGTACTTTCGGCCAATTTGATGGAACTACTACCAATTAGAATACCAATTCACATCATGTTTGTACAGGTTCAGATGGCTGATGATGGCTGGTTGCACTGCCAGTCGCTGCCACCATGGTCCAACTAGCTGTTTGCAAATCGAACAGTTCAGTCGGATGGGCAGGGACGACAATTCTTAAATGCCCAAATCGATCCAAATCGCATACAATATATTTACCAGCCAACATCACCATTTCAAAGCAACTGTGATTGGAAACTAAAGCCACGAGACTGGAAAATTAATCAAAACACTTGGATGTCAGCACGGTGGTGTGTTTTGAGTTTGTCTATCCCCTTCCTGAGTCTGCTTCCATCTGGTTTCCAGGTGTTTGCCATGCTTACTCTTGCTCCGTGTGAGGGGATAAACAGGGTGCAAAGCCTGACGCAGGCAGGCGTTGCTTCAGCAATCCCACATGAGTCATCATGAGGCTGATGTCAATGAAGAAATCCATCTCTTGTAATGGTCAATTACTCAAATGAAAGGCAACTCAAACGTACTTTCGGCCAATTTGATGGAACTACTACCAATTAGAATACCAATTCACATCATGTTTGTACAGGTTCAGATGGCTGATGATGGCTGGTTGCACTGCCAGTCGCTGCCACCATGGTCCAACTAGCTGTTGACAAATCGAACAGTCCAGTCGGATGGGCAGGGACGACAATTCTTAAATGCCCAAATCGATCCAAATCGCATACAGTATATTTACCGGCCAACATCACCATTTCAAAGCAACTGTGATTGGAAACTAAAGCCACGAGACTGGAAAATTAATCAAAACATTTGGATGTCAGCACGGTGGTGTGTTTTGAGTTTGTCTATCCCCTTCCTGAGTCTGCTTCCATCTGGTTTCCAGGTGTTTGCCATGCTTACTCTTGCTCCGTGTGAGGGGATAAACAGGGTGCAAAGCCTGACGCAGGCAGGCGTTGCTTCAGCAATCCCACATGAGTCATCATGAGGCTGATGTCAATGAAGAAATCGACCTCTTGTAATTGTCAATTCACTCAAATGAAAGGCAACTCAAAAATCTCAAACGCAGTGTGAATGACCCGAAACTTGAAGCGCAGGGGTAAGGGACGAAAGCTAGCTTGGCAGGGAGCTTGGCATGAAAACACATGCGCTATTGACGACGCCAATGATGCTGAGGATGCGGATGCTGCCGATTTTGCTGCCGGTGGCGACATGCCGACGGCGTCCCGGGGGGGGAGTGAGCCACGGCCAAACTGCTTACGGACCAGCCGGGCCGGGGTAGTTCAGTATTAAGTTTTCATGCGATTGGAGATTCCAGCCCCCCCAATACCTTGCTAAAGCAAGAGTTCAGCTAGCAGAAGCTAGCTTTCGTGATGAGATCAAATTGTGATGCTGAAAGAAGTGAATGCTTTCTGGGTCGTTCCCAGGCAACAAGGATTTCTACATGTCCTGAAAGCGATCAACGGAGGTCTGGGGAAGAAAGGGCAAGTTGTGTATGCAATGTAATTAATATAGCTCCAAGCCACGGTATGGTGAGGTAAGGTAGGGTAAGAGATGTAACTAACAGTACTGAAAACGACTGTGACCGGGGGTACTTCGATGCGGTGTAATGTGATGTTCATGCTGTTCATGTGTAATGTTGCGTTGCGGTTTTGTATGGTATGGTATGTTATGTTGCGATTTTGCATGGTATAGTATGGTATAGTATGGTATAGTATGGTATAGTATGGTATAGTATGGTGTAGTATGGCGTGTGTGTATATATATACATGTAAATAGTATCGTATAGGATGGCATGGCATCTTCTTAACATCAGCTCTTTGGGATGCAGCGTGCCAAGAGCAAAACATCCGTGCTTGAAAGGGACATTGAAGAGGCCGATGCTGAAAGCATTGCAAGGCTAGCGCAATTTGGTTTGTTATCCTCCATGGTTGGAAGGCATGATAAGCCATGATATGCAAACGCTGTTGAGCAACTGCCAAACGTTGAAATGACGCATTCGAAGGCAATTCAACTCAAGTTGTTTTTTTTACACAAATTCCTGGAAACTATACCATGCCTTCGTTGTGAACATCTGGCCTGGTCAACCAAGAGTGTCCAGGTTAAAAGCTCGGATAACCTTTCGCAACCTTTCCAGCTCCTTTTTCATGAGCTTCGGAAAGCGGTCTTGGGGCAGAATGGTGCATGCTGTACTTACCAAGCCAGCCAAACTCATCCGTGCCAAGACAAGGCCAATCCGGCGGGGAGTATAGACGGTGGGAGCTGAAGAACTCAAAGAACGCACCGAGATTTCTGACTTCAATAGCTGGAGCACGACAGCCGCGTCTAG